GGCCCGACCGACTCTGAGCAACAGGGCACGACCCACTCTGCGCAGGAGGGGTCTCATTCTGATGGCTCTTCCAGTTCTGAGCTCCTTGAGGAAGTGAGGCTCCATGCACCAGCTCTTTTCATCCCTATCGGGCACGCTCTGAGCCCAGCTCAACAAGCTTGGCTCAGAGATGCCGACAGGGCACTCTCTGCTGTGAACGCAATTCTCGATGCATGAGAAGGCCAACTCTCCGACTTGCCAAGCTCTGAGCCCAAAAAGAATATCTTCGGTGTCGAGTGCTCTCTTGCACTCTTGTGCCTGGCCATTCCTCTGCACTGCTAGTAAATTAATTACTGGGAGTACGACTACTACTACTCCCTATTACTACTACTACTACTACTACTACTACTACTACTACTACTACTACTACTACTACTACTACTACTACAACTTCTTCTTCTACTACTACTACTACTACTACTACTACTACTACTACTGCTACTACTACTACTACTACTGCTACTACTACTACTACTTCTTCTACTACTACTACTACTACTACTGCTGCTACTACTACTACTACTACTACTACTACTACTACTACAACCTCTGAGAAGTGCTTTTCGCAGTCATGTGCTCGAAGCTTTTGGCAGCCTTGTGAGCTCTGCAACTCTGCTCGAAGCTTTTGATGCTCAGCAGTCGTAGGCTTTCGGCACGCCTCAACGAAATCGCAGAGCCATGAAGAAGCCCGCCTCTGCAATGAAGAAGTCTCGACCCGCCTCTTCGTGTTCTTCTTCTTCTACGAAAGTGCCCGCTCGGAAGGCTCCATTTGCGAAAGCTCTGTTGCACAAGAAACCCTCTTTCAAAGCGCAGTCTTTGGACCACGCTGAGAGTGAAGCGGTCTCTGAGTTGGACGGTGCCTCCGTTTGCTCTGCTTCCACCTCTACAACCTTGATCTTGGGTGGTGGGGCCACGCAGAAGAGGAGCTCTGAGTGCTGTGTGAAAAAGAGCTCGGAGGGCTCTGACAAGAAGAGCTCGGATTCGTAAGCTGCGACTCGTGGGCCAGCATCTCTGAGCAGAAACTGCCACGTGCTGAGTCTGGCTGTTTCTCTGCAAACAAGGCAAAAAGGATCTCGGAAGCTGTGATCTAACAACATTTGTAGCCTAGTGGCTGAGGCGGCATCTCTGAAGACCGGTTGGTACACAGCTCGAATCCCCCCCCCAACATTTCATGGGTGGGCAAACTGCTCGCTTTTTGGGCTCTGATTGATGAGATCCTCCAGCTCGTGTTTTTCCTTTTGGGCTGCCTGATGGCAGCTGTCGTTCACTCCTCTGATGAGGACCAGCCCTCCGATGAAGCTCGGAGCTCACCCGCTTCTGTGAGCTCTTCTTGTGGTCTTGGGGCAGCAGTGGTGGCAGCCAGCTCTTCAAGCTCTCCGAGTAAAGCTCCAGGACCAAATCTTGTTGCTATGTTTTGCACAAATATCAGTCTTGCCAGGTCTTTTTCTTTCCACTTCTTTTATTTGGATTCAGCAACAAGGACTATTACAATTGCTGTAGTAGTAGTAGTAGTAGTAGTAGTAGTAGTAGTAGTAGTAGTAGTAGTAGTAGTAGTAGTAGTAGTAGTAGTAGTAGTAGTAGTAGTAGTAGTAGTAGTAGTAGTAGTAGTAGTAGTAGTAGTAGTAGTAGTAGTAGTAGTAGTAGTAGTAGGGGTGGGGGGGTCTGGGTCTGAGGGGGGTCTGGGTCTGGGGGGGTCGGGCTGAAAGCTGATCGTGGAGTTCATGGTTAAACTCACGCCCTTCAAAGCTGATGGTCCTGGGTTCAAAGCCCGGAGCGATCATGACCTCCACGATCAGCTTCTTGCTCCCCGGTGCATCCCACATTGGGCTCGGTCTGGATTGCTGTCAGTAAGTAGCCAAAGAGGATTGCTGATGGAAGAGAGTCCCAGACCGGCATCGCCTGAGCCTGGAGCCGGTTCAAGAGATCGGCAAAATGAAGCTGGGCTGCCCCACATTGGGCTCGGTCTGGATTGCTGTCAGTAAGTAGCCAAAGAGGCTTGCTGATGGAAGAGAGTCCCAGACCGGCATCGCCCCGTTCGCCGGACTTTATTAATGTCACCCTTTATTATTACGATTTCGAGGCCTCGTGGGGAGTAGCCTTGGCGGATTTGTTCGGGAGCTGTTTTTTAGAAGGATTTTAAGAAGAAATCGATGCTTTTCGGTCAGCCACGAAGATCAGGATTTCTGAGCCTGGAGCCGGTTCAAGAGATCGGCAAAATGAAGCTGGGCTGCCCCACATTGGGCTCGGTCTGGATTGCTGTCAGTAAGTAGCCAAAGAGGCTTGCTGATGGAAGAGAGTCCCAGACCGGCATCGCCCCGTTCGCCGGACTTTATTAATGTCACCCTTTATTATTACGATTTCGAGGCCTCGTGGGGAGTAGCCTTGGCGGATTTGTTCGGGAGCTGTTTTTTAGAAGGATTTTAAGAAGAAATCGATGCTTTTCGGTCAGCCACGAAGATCAGGATTTCTGAGCCTGGAGCCGGTTCAAGAGATCGGCAAAATGAAGCTGGGCTGCCCCACATTGGGCTCGGTCTGGATTGCTGTCAGTAAGTAGCCAAAGAGGCTTGCTGATGGAAGAGAGTCCCAGACCGGCATCGCCCCGTTCGCCGGACTTTATTAATGTCACCCTTTATTATTACGATTTCGAGGCCTCGTGGGGAGTAGCCTTGGCGGATTTGTTCGGGAGCTGTTTTTTAGAAGGATTTTAAGAAGAAATCGATGCTTTTCGGTCAGCCACGAAGATCAGGATTTCTGAGCCTGGAGCCGGTTCAAGAGATCGGCAAAATGAAGCTGGGCTGCCCCACATTGGGCTCGGTCTGGATTGCTGTCAGTAAGTAGCCAAAGAGGCTTGCTGATGGAAGAGAGTCCCAGACCGGCATCGCCCCGTTCGCCGGACTTTATTACTGTCAGCCTTTATTATTACGATTTCGAGGCCTCGTGGGGAGTAGCCTGCTCCCAGTGTGCTTTTAGGAGCTTCTGTTGTTGTTTTTTAAACTCATTTTTCTTCTACTACTAATTACTACTACTACTACTACTACTACTACTACTACTACTACTACTACTACTACTACTACTACTACTACTACTACTACTACTACTACTACTACTACTACTACTACTACTACTCTACTACTACTACTACTACTACTACTACTACTACTACTACTACTACTACTACTACTACTACTACTACTACTACTACTACTACTACTACTACTACTACTACTACTACTACTACTACTACTGCTACTTCTACTGCTACTGCTACTACTGCTACTGCTACTGCTACTGCTACTGCCACTGCGTGCTGCGACTGCGACTGACTGCTCCTGCTACTGCTACTGCTACTACTACTGCTACTGACTGTTTCGTTAGGGTTTAGGGCTTTACTTAATTAGGGTTTTACAACTCATGCAGTCAGCTTGCTCGTCACGATCCATCTCTTGCTCGTATTAGGCCCAACTGGCCATATGTGGCAAGTGTTTCTGCCAAGTGCACGAACTCCTCCGGCAGCAAGTCATCGATAAGGGTTGCAGACACTCTTTCTTCAATGGCAGGGCTGTTGAATCGTGCCCGCCCTTTCCGTTGAAGCCGACCTGCTCAGCCCGAAGCCAGTTTGTTGACAGACAGCTTCAAAGTAAGAAACTGCTGGTAGAACATTTGTAATCAAGCATGCTGTATCATGCCTGCAGCGATCTGGTACTGCTACCTGCCACTGCTCCTGCTACTGCTTCGGCTAGTCCTGCTAGTGCTTCTGCTGCTGCTGCTGCTACTCACTGCTTCTGTTCTCGGGCTAGTTGCTCCTGCTACTACAGCTCACAACAACAAAAAAAGAACGCCTTCAGGACTTGCACGGCTGCTTCGCCTGAAGGTGCATCCGACCTGCAGGGGGGCGAGACAAGTGCCACTAGACAAAATCAACCCTGCAGAGCAATGGGCCTTGCCACTCAGGGTCGATTTAGTCTAGTGGTGCAGCTTCTGTCCTGCTGCAGGCAACAGCCAGACGCCTCCAACAAGCCAACCAGCACGGCCTCGAGCGTCAACCCCAGCTTTTTGTTTTCAATCTCCCCGCAGCCAACTGCTAGTACTGCTTCTTCTACTACTATTGCTACTACGACCACTACTACCTCCTGCTACTACTACTTCTTCTTCTACTACTACTACTCCTACTACTACTACTACTACTACTACTTCTACTACGAATTACTTCTACTATTTTTTCAACTACTACTACTACTACTACTACTACTACTACTACTACTACTACTACTACTACTACTACTACTACTACTGCTGCTATTACTACTACTACTGCTACTAGTACTACTACTACTACTACTACTACTTCTACTGCTACTGCTACTATTGCTACTACTACGACTACTACTACTACTACCATTACTACTACTACTACTACTACTACTACTACTACTACTACTACTACTACTACTACTACTACTACTACTACTACTACTACTACTACTACTACTACTACTACTACTACTACTACTACTACTACTACTACTACTACTACTACTACTACTACTACTACTACTACTACTACTACTGCTACTACTACTACTACCAGTACTACTACTATGTTCGGGAGCTGTTTTTTAGAAGGATTTTAAGAAGAAATCGATGCTTTTCGGTCAGCCACGAAGATCAGGATTTCTGAGCCTGGAGCCGGTTCAAGAGATCGGCAAAATGAAGCTAGTGCAGGGGGTGGGGTTCGAACCGGGCAAGATGCAGGGGGTGGGGTTCGAACCGGCGACCTTTGGGATTATGAGGTTGACGCCTTAACCATTAGGCCAAACCAACTCTTGAATTTCAATGCTAATTTGCTTCTGACAGGACTCCAGCCGACTCTGTTGAGGTTCTTCGCGCCCCAGCACCCAGCAGCTTTGGAGCCAGCTCTACCACCCCGGACAAACCCGCCTCATAGACCACTCTCGCATACCATGCGACAGTTGCTCGTCGAGGCTGCTGCTGAGGAAGCTCGTCGACAGTTGCAGCCGGAACTCTCTGCACAGTCTGAAGAGGCTCTTGCTCGCATGCGAAGTGCTGCAGAAAGCAAGAAGCGCCGCTTGAGTGGTGGCCGACCTCGGAACGTCGGCTCTCAAAAGCGCGTTCGCCGACGTGAGCGACCTTTGGCTGTCAGGGTCCGCATCTCTCGTCAGATGCTGGCAGAGAGGCCTGCTTTTGCCTCTGACAGGGACTTTGTGGCTGCCATGTCCAAGAAGCTGGGCCTCGCAAGAAAAACCGTGCAGAAGCTCTGGGCAGACCACGACAGCACCGAAGCTCTAGTGAAAAAGCGACGGCTCAGCTTGAACCCGGAGAAGCACTCTGCAAGCAAAGGCACTCGAAAGACCGCCTCTGACCGGCGCTTTCGCGGCTTTCGCCGCCCTGGTGGTGGCAAGAAGGAGCTCTTCCCGCAAGTGACTCTCTCTCTGAAGCTCTGGTTCGAGGAGCAGAGAGCCTATGGTCACACTGTGACCAGAAGAGTTCTCTTGTCTAAGTGGCAGGTTCTCACGGAGGAAGAACTCTTGCGCCTTCGAACTCTAGCAGACTCTGCCTTGGACTCAGCGGAACGCTCTAAGTACGAGCTCTTAAGACAGCGAGGCCAGGCGGCTCTTGACTCTGTCTCCAAGGACTCTGGCAAGAACAGGCTCCGCCAGCTCCTCCACAAGCTGGGCTGCTCTCTCCTCGTGCCTGACCTCACAACCAAGCTCTCAGCTGAAGAAGAGCGAGTCCGAGCTGCTCTGACGTACCAGAGCTTTGACCGCATGCTCTGGGTTGCTGCCTTCTCGGATCTCGAGGAGCTCTCTGAGAAGGTCATCGCTCCCAAGAAGTTCCGGGACTCTGTGGAGAACCTGGTCTGCCTTTTCTCCGACCAGATACCTCTTTGGGTGAAGAGTGGACAGGAGCGAGAGCTCTTTGCCTCTTGGGAACGGCAGCCGTGCTCTCAAGCAGAGCTCCGCCACAATCTGGAGGTTGCACACCAAGCCTCTCTGGAGCAAAGAGGCAAATCTTTGCCATCTTTCGAGGCTGCGAAGCCCTCTGCCAAGGCAAAAGCTTCCTCTGGCCAAGGGCAAAAGAGGGCTCTCAAGGAGGACCAGCACTCGAGATACCGCATCACCTACGAGGCGCGCCAAGCTCTCTATGGCCTCTGCACCTCCAAACCTCAAGCCCAGCTCTCTGGCGCGGTTCTTCCAGGACTCATTGTGGTGCATGGTGTCCACGCCAGGCTCTCCAACATTGATAGCTCTGGTCGCTTCATTGTGGAGGAGTCTTTCTCTTGGAAGGGCAAGCAGGTGGTCCGCTCTGCGAAGTCGTACGCCGGGAAGATCCTGCTCTCGTGGCGTCAGGCTCGCGACAAGGACCCTCTTCTCTTCGAGCAAGTCTCTGTGATGTCTCAACCCTCGGCCAATGTCGACTCTATCATCTTCAAATGGAGTCAGGAAGAGCTCGCAAAGGTCTCTGTCGTGGCTCTGCATCAGAGAGATGCCTTTGCGGGGGCCTGGACGACCTCTGCAACAGAGTCCCTCTACGCGAGCAACCACCTGCAGTGCCTCTTGGCACCCAAGCTAACTGCCTCTCTGCAGTTAACTGACACGGACTATGCTCGGTCGTTCAAAGCTCTCTGCAGAGCCGAGATGGAGTCTCTCAGGAGCTCGGGACAGCAGGCTCTTCTTGCTCAGGGCTCTCGTGAACCCTGGCAGGCTTCGCCTCTCGACATGGTGAAGGCCATTGTCTCTGCTCAGACAACTCTTCGGCAAAGGAACGAGAAGAACTCTTGGGTGGTGGCAGGACTCCGCCGCAACGGCATCCTCGCCTACAAGGCTTCTCTCGCCGAGCAGAAACTCGTTCCCCTCTCCTCTGAGGAAGTCGGAGGTGTCCAAATGGGCTTCTCGACCTTTTTTGTTGGTTCATCAACCCTTTCTCTTTTCATTAAACATTTTGAGGTTGAACTCTTTCATTGCTTTTGGATTCGCAGAGGCTCTGAGCGGATCGATGTCTCTTGGCTGAGAGATCGCTTTCTCTGGGTGGACAAGAATCTTGTTCCTCTGAAGCCAGACTTCAGCCTCATCACGGCCTCTAAAGAGCTGGCGGACCTCTACGAGTGGGACTTTCACAATCCCGCCTCTGCGCCAGAGGAGGACCAAGCTCTGATGGACATCTCGGAACTGCCCTCTGAGCTGCAGCTGCCATGCATCGAAAGTGGGCTCTTGCGCCTTCCTCTCGAACTGCAGCTTGCAGCTCAACGCCGCTCTATCTCGACACCTGTCTCTGTGAAGGACAAGAAAGCCTCTAGGAGGTACGCGAAGATGGTGAAGTCTCTGGCAAAGAAACGAGTCTCTGCCAAGCTTCGCAAGGCTTTGAGAGACAAGCTGAAGACGCAGTCTCTAGGCCAGACTCTAGGCAAGCTCGTGCCTCGTGCGGGCGAGGCCTCTGAAGCCATCTCTCAGAAGAAAAAGAAGCTCCAGAAGCTCAAGGTCAAGAAGACCGCTGACGGCAAGGCTCTCATGAAGGCTCTCACGATGAATGCTGCCGAGGCTCTGGCACTCCAAAACTCCGACGTCGAAGCTGAAGAGGCCACTCTGGCAGAAGTCACGAAAGGACAGCCCCCCCGCCCCCGCCCGGGCTTTTTTGTAAACCTTACTAAGTGAAGACTTAATTTCTCCTGTTCCTTTTTCTTTGCAAGAAAGGACCTCTGGCGGGCCGGGTCTGTCGGGTCTTGCAGCTCGGCGTCCACTGTGGCAAGGAGGCGACCTGCTCTCACCACAACCTCAGCAAAGGCACGGTGACTCTCCCGTGTCTGGGCGACAGCATGGCGACTTTGACATTGCCTGACTCTCTGGTTGTGGAGAAGGAGGCCTCTTGGCTGAAGCCTCTGTCCTGGAAGCACATGCGGCTCTCTCGTGAACTCAAGCAGAGGGTCCTCCACTCTTGCGGAGGCTCCCAGCTCTTTCTCGAGGAGAGTGTCTACGGGCCGGAGCCGATTGAGCTCTTGAAGACTCCGCCTCAGATGCTGCTGGACCAACACATCCTCTATGGTTTCGAGCTCCTCCGATGGCATTTCAGCCAGGGCTCTGAGAATTTCTTCTTTGAGCAAGGCATTCGCATCGTGGACCCCAAGCTTTCTCTCCAGTACATCACGAAGGAGTGCTTTGATGTCTCTATCGTGGAAAACGCCTTGAAACGCGAGGGTGAGCTCTTCAAGACGCTCTTCGTGCCTGTCTGGGGCCAGGGTGATGGCCCAAAGCATTGGACTCTGCTGCACTTGGACCAGGAGTCTGATGAGGTTCGTATCAAGTACTACGACTCTCTGAACGATGAGGAGCCGCACCCTTGCTGCGCTGCGAATGCCCAGGTTCTGTTGGACTTCCTCTTCCCCGGCAAGACTTTGCCCCAACGTGAAGACTCTCAGAGGCAGAAATCTGACGAGTGTGGCTTCTATGTCCTGGCCCACATCTTCGAGGTGGTAGCTCTCAAGCGAGGGGAAGGCCCCGCGAGCAGGGGCTGGAGCTCTGTGATCGTCATGGATCTCATGAACTTCCTCAGAACATGGCTCGGGCAGCTCTCTGGCGAACAAGACAAGCTCCAGAACGAGCAGGCCAGCAGGCCCCAAACCCCCCTAATGAAACCCTAACTAAGCCCTAATTAGGGTTTAGGTCTTTAGGATTTCGGGCTTCTTTGGGTGTTCTCTGGCCCCAGGCCTCTCGCTTGAAGTCTCTGGAGAAGAGCCGACTCAAGAACCTCAAGGTCTCTCAAGAGCTTGCCAAGAAGGCCTCTGTCGCAGCAGAAGCAGCCTCTCAGGCAGCGAAACTCGCTGCCAAGGTTTTGTCTCTAGGCAAGGAACCTGAGCTCTCTGATCTTCCTAAGGAACATCAGGACAAGATTTCTCAAATTAGACTCTTTGGCTGCTCCGTCTGCAGTCGTTGCAGATGGGTCTCTGGCTGCCTCTCTTGCGACGGCCCCAAGGCCGAGCGTTATTACCTCAACCAGTTAAGGCACTCTCTAGGACTGCCTCTGCTGAAGTGAAGCACTCTCAGCTGTGTGGTCTCGGCCTCGAGTGAAAAGAGGAGTACTCTCGGAAGCACATTTGGGAAATTCTCCCGGAAAAGTTTCCACTATTACCACCCGTTTTTTGATTACGACCCCCCTCAAAATGGGGTTTAGGGTTCGGGGCAGCCTAACATAATGGAAACTGTTCATGAAACAAACTTTTGGGCAAAAATCCCGGCCGGAAAAGTTGCCACTATTGACACCCGGTTTATAAAGGTGACCCTAACATTATCTTGTTCCCCTATATATATATATATATCTCTCTACCTCATATCGTCCCCATGTACCTAAGTAGCCCCCAAATAGCCCCCAAATATCCCCTAAGGTCCCTTATCAGGGTCCTTGATAAGTTCGAAAGCGGGCTGTAGAAGCTGCCAACCAACTTTCCTGCCTTCAGATAGATGCTTCAACCCTAAACCCGAAGGCCTGAACCCTAAACCCTAAACGCCAAGTCTTAAACCCTAGACCCTAGACCCTAAAGCCGGACCCGACTGGACAGCACTCCCTGCTGCGCATTTGCGATTCCGGTTCAAAAAAAAAAAACGGACCCGAAAGCCCGAACCACCACAGAAAAACCTAAACCCTGAACGATCATCACCTCAAGTTACCATCTTTTCAGGTGCCCTGCTCCCATGCCACCGGATCGGCGACTTCATGAACGCCACCTCGGCGTGCTGGATCAGCCCCTTGCCTCATCTTTCTAGCCCCGTGGTGCCCTTTTCCCCTTCTCTTGGGTTTCAGGTTCCCACATAAAGTAGCCCACCCCAAAAAGGGTGCCCCTATTATGATATGGTTCCTGGGCACGTCATGGCGCTTGCTTGGGATGTGGGCAAGACCTTCTTCGTGCGGTTCAGTAAGTCGGGCTTAGGGTTTATAGGGTGTAAGTTGGGATGTCACCCCTTACATTTAGGAGTTTTCGGCTCAGTCCGCCGACCCAAGAGGCAACCGCAGAAGGCTTGGGGTCACAACCCTTGTTGGCCCGAACCAACCATGAAGAAGCAGGCCAATGCTGCCGAAACGACCCGCACAGGGGGAGGAGTCCAAACCCTAAAGCCCACGGTCCTTCATGGACCGATGTAACCCCCCGCCCTCCCGCCCTCCCCGCCCGCATTTGGGTGTGAGGGCGGGGCAGTGGACAATGGCTCCTGTTGTAATCCCGATTAAGGACTGTTAGTATCAGGGAACATCCCAAGGTCTAGGGTTTTAGGGCTGAGGGTCTCCTGCACTGTGCATCTGTGTATGTGTAGAGTTCAGGGTTTTGCCGGCAGAAAAAAGGACACGTTTTAACAGCTCACCATGTTCATAAATTTCTGCATATATGTATAAGCATAGCAGAACACATATACATATGTGTGCATGTTGTTGGCGATGTTTTTGGAAGCTGCGAATTCACCGGTAGTGAAGGTATGTTCTATAAGGATGTGCTTTGTTGTGCGTTTGTGTGTGCCGCGTGTTTGCTGTGTGCTTACATACGATCTTTTTCTGCCTTGTTTATGAACCCGACCTCGGTGGGGGCGGTGGGGCTACTGCAAGGGTGAGTTTCCACTGGCGCCGACAGGGGTCGGCGGATATGTATATATATATATATACATTCATTCATTCATACATACATACATACATATGTTTGGAACCAACTAGTACCACTCAACAATGCTGCGAATTCGTGTCGTGTTTTCTGGCGCTTACAACCCTCAACTCTAAACCCGAAGCCCCTTGAGCTCCTTTACTTTCGAAATGCAGCCGCTGTTTCAGATTCAGCGATTCTACATGCTTATTTCAATCGCTCCAAATAGGTAGGGCCATGCTATGAGGTCTTTAGAATCGAGATTTTGCCCTGACCCTCTTTGTTTTCACAGCTTCGCTTGAGGATTCCGCATATAGCCCTACTTGCGAGTACCCCCTTCCCCCCCCCCCCCCCCCCCCCCCCCCTACTTCCTAAACCCTAAGCCCTGGACCCCATGCGATTGGCTGAGGTTCCAACGAGATGTGGAGCATGCGCCCATAGAGTTCGTCAAGATCGTCGAGTCATGCCGCTAGAAGCCAACCAGCGATTGGCAGCTCGGCATGGGTTTACCTGCCAAGACCTTTCTAGGGTTTAGGGTTTAGGGTTTAGAGTTCAGGGTTTAGGGCTTTGTGATATCAGGTCTACAGGCATCAGTGTTGAGAGCGAAAGGTTCCATGACATCTCCTCCCTCCTGCAAGCTCCAGCAACTTCATCCGGGAATCCATGTCCCGAGTCCTGCATGTCTGCATAGACCTTTCGTGGTAGCTTGGCTCCTATACCTGTCGCCCTAAACCCTAAGCCCCAAAGAAGCCCTAAACCATTTTTTGGAGTTGTAGCACCATGATGGATCACCACGATGCCCTGTTTCGGTTGGTGGATTCGGTGCCATATTAATTCGTGCTAGACCTGGACCTTTGGGGAACGCTATGTCGCTGCGATGTATGAGTAATGTAGGGGTCGGAATAGTTGCTGATTGTATTCCCTTATGGTCCCTTTAATATTCATACTACAATAACCCCCAAAACCCTGTTTTAATTATTAAGGCTCCTACAGTCTGAGGCGTGGTTCTGCACCTGGTTAACTTCCAACAGGCACGGCGGAGTCTGGGCAATTGCTTTACATGGTCCGCTCAACTTACATACCTGAGCCCCAAGACCTAAGTCGTATGCCAGAGGATAGGATCACAGAGCTTCCTTCCACAAGCTCGTTGCGTCAAACTTGCTTAGCCCATAGTTGAACTTCAAACTTTTCGGGTTTCCTTATTTAGTAGGAATAGTGAAGATTAACCTTTTTGCCTTGGTCATTGGAGAAGTAAGCAAAACTTGGCTTATGGGTTTCGTGTTTTCAGCCCAAAGCGTCACCGTGGCATCATCCAAGAGGTATCGAACTCGGAGAGACCTTCAGTTGGATGTGCCCCAAACCCTAAACCCTATGCTGAGAGCTCGAGCTTCGATTTCACGTCTGGTCCTACAAAGTAAAGCCGGGAAATCCTTTCCCTGAGCACTACTTGTAGGTTTTTTGGAATTGATGGGGGTTTCGGGTTTAAGATTAGGGTTTCAAGTTTCAGGGGTTCAGTGCTTCTGGCTTGGGGGAACTCAAGAGCTTCAGGGCGTAGGTAGGGTAAGGTTTAGGGCTTAGGGCTTAAGGGTTCAAGGGGTTTCGAGGTTTGCGGGCGTAAGGGTTTTGAGGGCATAAGGTTTTAAGGGCAGAAGGGTTATAAGTAGGGTTGCAAGTAGGGTAGCTATGGTTTTCACCGTATTTGGGGTACTTATAACCCTACTCCTCAACCCTAACCCCTAAACCCGAAACCCTAAACCCTCAACCCGAAACCCTTGTGAAATATCACCTTGTGAGGTGTGTTTCGTGTACAGCCGAGTTCACATCTCCTTTTCCATATTCCTTTTCTTTAGAACCCAATCTCACCACCCCTAATAAAGGGAGCTTACTCAACTTCGTTTTGACTCCGCAGGCCTTGGGCCCAATAGCCCTGGAAGCCGAAAAGTTACTGCGTAGCTGCTCTTCTCCGATCCCACTCCAAAACTACCCTAAACAATGCACCCTAAACCCTACCTATAAGTACCCATGAACCTGCAAGTGCCTTGCAGGTGCACCCATGCTTGTCGGACATATGGCAACCGCCTGCGCAGTGTTCTGTGGGACCCGTGTTGCTCTTCACATCGGCTTCCGTTGTATCTAACCCTAAACCCTAAACCCTAAACCCTAAACCCTAAACCCTAAACCCTAAACCCTAAACCCTAAACCCTAAACCCTAAACCCTAAACCCTAAACCCTAAACCCTAAACCCTAAACCCTAAACCCTAAACCCTAAACCCTAAACCCTAAACCCTAAACCCTAAACCCTAAACCCTAAACCCTAAACCCTAAACCCTAAACCCTAACCCTAAACCCTAAACCAAGCCTGCAACTCTGCGGTTGGTAGTGCATTCTATACTTCAGGGGTGGAGAACGGGACAGACATGACAAAGGTAGCCAGCTCCTAGCCCCTAAACCCAAAACCCCAGTTCTTCGTATGGAAATAGGTGCCAGGCACAAAGATTATATAAGGCTCCTTGGGGGTAGTGGCAAACAGTGTGTGCATGAACAAATACACAGATTTCTAAAGAATATTGTACATGTATCAACACATAAATACCGGTCTCTATCTACATATATATATATATATATTATAAATTGTTGTTCCCCACCCTCGGTGTGGGGTTGTTTGGTTTTGTGCTAAACTCTTCTCCTCGCCCGGTCTGTTCCTTGCCCATGACCCATATCCCAGCCCAGAGTATCCCTAGAGTGTCCCTGGAGAGCCCAACCCCAGCATGTCCTTGGAGTGCCCAAACGCAGAGCATCGGGAGTGCCCCAACCCCAAACCAATCGAAATCTGTAGGGTGAGGATGGTCGAAAGAAAATAATGTAGATGGTGTTACTCAACTGTACATATCGAGTGTGTCCTTTTGTGAGTACTGGCAATTACAAAGCATCTACACACACATGTATGTGTACATATATATATATATGTATATATCGCTGTGTGTATGTATACACACAAACATGGATGCGGATGTGATTGACAGCTCGGGTCAGGCTCGTCAAAGTCCATATGCCCCGGAGCTTTAGCTGGTGCAAGTTTCCTCTCGGGTTCCTGCACTTGCCGTTTGAAACCCTCAACCATAAAGCCTGCACTTGCCGGTTCGAAGCTTTGTTGCACCTCGTGGGAGGGTTTGGGGTTTAGGGTTTAGGGTTTAGGATTTAGGGCCGCAATGTCGTTACAGGCTTGATGCAAACCCTGAAAAACCTATACTCTTAGCCAGTATGACGAAAATCTCCAAGAGCCATATTGGTGCGATTAGTGCGATTCTTGCACGCTGTAAGCCGAGCATTCATCTTCGAGATACGTTTCGCAAGCTAGAGTCTAGGATTGCCGAGTCCCACTTTGCGACACTGTAACTTAAAAGAAACCCTAAACCCTAAACCTTGAGACCTGAACCTTTTGAGTCCCTGAATGCAAGCCAGCTACAGCTCTCCAGCGTACTGGAGTATTTGATCCGCTGCGGTCCCTGTAATGAACAGATGGGATCTCGGCAACGTGACTTCTGGAGTCGAGATGGTGATGCCGACTTGAGGGCTGGAGTGCTGAATACGAGATGCAGGTGAGTTTCAAGCTTCTCATCTTGACTGCCAGAGTCTTCATCAAAGCCAATCAAAGCCGTTCAGGCTTATCAGCTTGCAACGCGAAGCCAGGATGCCCAGTAGAGCCCGCATTCCTTTTTTTTTTGGTGGGGGGGGGGGGGGGGGTATAGGCTCCCTTCTAAGCCCCTTTACGCAAAAAAGGAGGCACCCTGTTGACTTCCAAGGGTACTGGGCATCCTAGGAAGTGGCAGCTGAAGTCCATACTTCTGAAGCGAAACTCCTTGTCTCATTGTACGATTGCACGAGTATGTGTTGGGAACAGGTTCTTATCTTACTATATTGGTTTAGGGTTTAGGGTTTAGTGTTTCGTCTTTATTTCTGATGGGGTCTGTGGAAAGCGGGGCGGATGGGAGGGGGATTCTCCGACCGGCCCTAGATGGGATGTTCGAATCAGCCCTCCCACATTGCTTCATTTCAACATGAGCAAGCTTAAAGTCTACATCCTGAACCCGTGAGCCCTTACCACCCTCCCTAAACAAGTGCAGCGTTGATGCTGGAGCCTAAACTTATACCAGTATTCCAGTATTCTCCGGTCTTCATCGTGCTATATTCATAAGGGTACTTAGGGCTTGGGGTTTAGGATTCGGAAAGGAGATTAGCGACCGTGTCCAATTCTGTAGCATGTTCACGAAGTGTGCTCATCGGTGTGAAGGAGGCCTCTAAGGTGAGAGCTGCAGAGACCTATCTGTTTAATGGTGAAATGGGTATTTTGGGGGTAGCCCTTTGCGTTTTTATCTACATATCGGCATGGTGAGGGAATATTGGTACTCGTGCAATCTCCACATGTGACCGTACTGGCTTGCGAACGTCCGGAGGCGCCGGTCGCTTGGTCGCGCCGCCGGCAAAGATGGTCGCGGCTGAGTGCCTGCCTTTCGTGCCAAGCTGTCAACCCTAGCCAGTGCCCAAGGACAGCTTGTCTCCGTTCCCGCATTGCGGGCTGCAACATTTGCCTGATGTTGAGTTCGATGTGCTGCTTAAGATGAGCTTAGGCCAGGGACCCTGCACCCTGACACCCTAAACGCGCACCCCGAACCTCTATCGGCACTCAGCTTCTTCGAGTCTCTCTCTCTCTCTCCCTCTCTCTCTCTCTCTCTCTCTCTCTCTCTTTTTGCTGATCTCTCTCTCGTGGCAGAGGTGAAGCTGAATGCAGCATCCTAGTTCAGACTCAAGCGGCTGAAGCACCAGAAGTTGAGACGGCACGGCCCTAACACCTACACACTTGCATCCCTCATGCTCCGATCTCAGGGTGCAGGGTTCAGGGTTTAGGGTTTAGGGTTTGCTGCTCCATTCAGCATGTCACCAGACCATGCCTCCAAGCTCGGATAGAAGCATCTTGTGTGCACAAGTAGACTAGGTAGGCCCCCGGGAAATTATGCTATGTTTTCCCTGATCGGGTTTTGGAGGATCATGTTCAGGAATGTTTTTCCGTGGCCCTTTAAGGGCCATCCTGGTAGACGTCCGAGCCATAACTTGCACGTCCTCCCCCCGCACCCCGCCCTTCACCCCCCTTCGCCCAGCCCAGCGTGGAAGCTTGAAAACCCTAACCCTAAACCCTCGACCCTAAACAGCTTGAAAACCCTAAACCCTAAGCCTTAAAAACCCCAAAAGCCCTAAAAGCTCCAAAACCCGAAGCTATTCTGGCTTCGGGATGTGGGGGGGTTAACGAAAATAGGGGACCCCCCAATATAAACCCCCAAAAAGTAGGATCCCTAAAACCCCAAACCCTAAACCCTAAACCCTAAACTCTAAACCCTAAACCCTAAACCCTAAACCCTCAACCCTCATGTGAACTCAACCTTCGGTCAAACCGGGCAGCGCCACAGTGGTGGTGCTG